TTCGAATTTTAATCATAATTTAAAAGATAAAAAATATAATGAGTAATTGCAACTAATATGCATTGAAAAACAAAAAATGTGCATGAAAATAAGGTCAGTTTTATCTTTCATTTGCATACTAAAAGGCCTGTTCAAGAATGTTTAATTTTTTATTTGGAAGTAACAGTGGGTGCACTTTAATCGAAAGATGTTTTCATAAAGAATGTTCATTGTGCTTTTCCATTAAATTGGGAAGCATTTGAATTTGATACAGGTGTATCTAGGGTGGACAAAATCACCTGAACCCGTCGGGTTTCGATCCGACCCGACCTCTTAGAGTCGGTTTTTTTTTTTTGAAAATCGGGTATCGGATCGGGTAGGATCGGGTAGAATAAAAAAAATTTCAGATTCGAGTCGGGGTCGGGTTTTAAGCAAATCTGACCCTACTCGACCCGATATATATAAAAAAATTATTTTTTTAATTTTATATTTAATTATATATATTTTTATATATATTTAATTTTATATTTATATTTAAAATAATATTTTATTAATTTCGGGTCGGGTCAAATTTGATTTTATACAATATCGGATCAGATCGAATTCGGGTATTAAAAATGAAAAAATTATAAGATCGGGTACGGGTTCGGGTATTGTATATTTAATATCGGGTCGGGTTCGGGGTGAGCAAAAACCCGCCCCGACCCGACCCGTTGCCATCCCTAGGTGTATTTGATAAGAGAGAAGTCAATTTCAGTCACAGATGGATGAGTTAATTACTTTATGATTTTTTTTAATAAAGTAAACCGTAATTTCAAAATAAAAAAAAAATTACATCTGTTAAAGATTTAAATCTTAAAACTTTTGAATATTATTTTATAAAATAATTATATGAATTAATTAAACTATATTTGAAATTTTATAATATTTTAAATTTACATACTAAGTTTGTCAATTACAAGTGACATCACAATCAATGTCGGACCAATCTCAAAATAATTTATTTTAGATAATTTTAAACCGATATAATTCGGGTATAGATTTTTATATATCGATATCAAAAAGATATGCAAAAAAATATTGTAATATATACCAAGGGAATTTTTTTTCTTTAAATGTTGTTGCCAAAATGTATGTTAAGACTCAAAATTTTTGTTATATAAACATACACTTAAATCTTATATCTAGAAGGCTGGAATTATGAGTTTAGAAATAGAGAATGAAATTTTAGACTTTCATTTATTTTCCAATGAATCTAATTGCCATGTTTAGCAAATAGTAGTTAATTGGTTAATATTCAGAGAAGGAATTAAAAACTTGCGAAAATAGAAGTACATATATCAAACTTGGTTGCATTAAAATGTTGTATCACATCAAAATTCAAAACCATGATCCCAACAAATTTTTTTTTTTTGGTGAAATGATAAAAAAAAAAATTTTAATGAAATAATTCTCCATCACTACCCCCAACCTAAACAAGTAGTTCCGCATTCAATGCTTATCACATGAATTTTGATGCTTAGCATATAGCATATGGAGGGAGTTATTTTTATTTTAAAAAATAAAATTCAAAATTTAATTGATTCATAAAATAATTTTTAAAATATAAAGTTTAATAAATCTGAAATTTAAAATTTAATATCTGTGAACTTTTGTTTTATTTTTAAAATATGGTCTTTATGACTTTTTTTGTAAAAAAAAAAAATTATTAAGACTTTATTTTTTTGAAAAGTAATTCATGCACCAATCAATTTAATGCTTGAAAAGGATTTTTTTAGGAGGGATTATATTTTTTGTTAAGAATTTATCTAAATATAAAATATCATACCATTAATAAATTTTCCAAAGATGTTTCCACGCGTTTTAAGGGTGCGTCTACGACTAGTATTCCCAGTGTGAAATCATCCTTAAGAATTTTATCTGTTGATTGTTGTGTTATTTGTTCCAGAAACCATAGATTATTATGTTGAATTCAAAATTATGAAAAAGAATATTATTTTTTTATTATTTTTTGGTGATACCACATAAGGGTCAGTAGGTTCCTACCTGAGGAGGTTTATAGCAATACAATTCAACCATGCAAACCGAACAATGTTGAATAAAAGCACAAACCAAAACGCCATTCACAGCAAAAAAAACCATATATTGCATAACCCAAAGTTTCTTTTTTTTTCCTCACCCTCATTCATGTTCATCTAGCATCACCACCAACACCACTACCATGCAGCTAAAACGGCTTTGCTTCATTTTACCGGCTGATTTCGATGAAATCGCCCCCTTGGACTACCCCAAGGTTGATAAACCTGTCGAAAAGGAGGTCAAGAAACATCCATTCCGTGACTGTGGAAGTCAAGTTTATGCTTTCATTGGTGATGCTTTGCGCCGGTTCTATGACTCCAGATGGGTTCGTTTTTGTCATCATGATGTGCCAAGGAAACAGCAATCAAGTATGTTTCATGACCTGGAAGGAGTTCAGATGTCGGAGAAGGTTGGTGGAGAGAATCCAAGGACTTTTAGTTATGCTGAGCTTTATATAGGTTCTAATGGATTTAGTGAAGATGAAATTCTTGGAAGTGGGGGTTTTGGGAAAGTGTATAAAGCAGTTTTACCTAGTGACGGAACTGTGGTTGCTGTGAAATGTTTGGCAGAGAAAGGGGAGAGGTTTGAGAAGACGTTTGCAGCAGAATTGGTGGCTGTGGCTCACCTGCGCCATAGAAACCTTGTTCGGTTAAGGGGTTGGTGTGTTCATGAAGACCAGTTGCTCCTGGTTTATGACTACATGCCTAATCGGAGCCTTGACAGAGTACTCTTTAGAAGGCCTGAAAACATGGGCGCAGCTCTTTTGAACTGGGAGCGCAGGAGGAAAATTGTCGGAGGCCTGGCAGCTGCATTGTTCTATCTCCATGAACAATTGGAAACTCAGATTATACACCGAGATGTCAAGACAAGCAACGTGATGCTTGACTCCCAATATAATGCACGGCTAGGTGACTTTGGCTTGGCACGGTGGCTTGAACATGAACTTGAGTACCAAATCAAGACACCAGCAACAAAAAGGCACCAGTTTCGTTTGGCTGACACAACAAGGATTGGTGGCACAATTGGGTATCTGCCACCAGAGAGCTTCCAGAAACGAAGTGTGGCTACTGCTAAATCTGATGTCTTCAGTTTTGGGATTGTTGTGTTAGAGGTGGTTTCTGGAAGGCGAGCTGTGGATCTTACATTTCCAGATGAGCAAATCATTTTGCTAGACTGGATCCGTAGGCTGTCGGATGAAGGAACGCTTTTACATGCAGGGGATACCCGACTTACAGACGGGTCTTACAGACTAGCTGATATGGAGCGGTTCCTTCACATTGGACTCCTCTGCACACTTCACAATCCGCTTTTGAGGCCTAATATGAAATGGGTTGTTGAAGTGCTTTCTGGTGACATTTCTGGCAAACTACCAGCTTTGCCATCATTTGAGTCCCACCCTCTATACATCGCCTTGTCATCCCCATCCAACACTGGTGGAAGCAAGAGCACCACCAGTAGCAGGTCTTCCACCAGCACCAACGCAACAGTCACGTTTGCTTCTTCAAACTATGTCACTGCCACTGAAGAAACTATATATGCAACTGCTGAATTTGGATTAGATGGTTCCAGCTTATCCAACAACAGCAGTCGCCGACCAACAAATTTCTTTATGGTTGAAACTCCAAGAGAAATACCCTTCAAGGAAATCATTTCTGCAACCAACAATTTTGCAGAATCACGAAGGGTAGCAGAGGTTGACTTTGGAACAGCCTACCAAGGTTTCCTTGACAACCGTCATCACATTCTAGTGAAGAGACTTGGCATGACTAAATGCCCTGCACTGCGAACAAGATTTTCTAGTGAACTCCAAAACTTAGCAAGGCTCCGCCATCGTAATCTGGTACTACTCCGAGGATGGTGCACTGAACAAGGAGAGATGCTTGTTGTATATGATTACTCAGCAAATAGACTGTTGAGTCACCTCCTTTTCCATCACAATAACAAGAATGGCAGATTTATTTTGAGATGGCAACACAGATATAGCATTATCAAATCCCTTGCTTCTGCCATTCTTTATCTTCATGAGGAATGGGATGAACAAGTAATCCATAGAAACATTACCTCTTCAGCCATCATTCTCGATCCCGAAATGAACCCACGGCTTGGTAGTTTTGCTCTAGCTGAATTCTTGACAAGAAATGATCATGCCCATCATGCAGCTACCAACAAGAACAAATCAGTTCGTGGAATTTTTGGTTACATGTCACCAGAATATATGGAATCCGGAGAAGCAACCACAATGGCTGATATTTATAGCTTTGGAGTGGTGGTGCTCGAGGTGGTTAGTGGACATAGGGCAGCTGACTTTCGGCGGCCTGAGGCATTATTGGTGAAAAGGGTCCATGACTTTGAGACAAGAAAAAGGCCATTGGAGGAACTGGTTGATATTAGGTTGAATGGGGAATACAATAATAAAGAACTGTTGAGACTGGCAAAACTAGGAATTGCCTGCACACGCTCTGATCCGAAATTAAGGCCTACCATGAGGCAGATTGTGAGCATACTTGATGGGAATGACAAATGCTTCATGGAAGACAGGCAGAGGAAGGAGGGTAGGGAAGATTGGAATCAGAGAAATGCTAGTTCATTGTCATTGGTTAGGGGAATCCATTCTCTGGGAATACATTGAAACTCACTCGAGTAACTTAAAGGAGAGGCAAGTTGATAGCACGTGTGTTTTTCATTACAATTTTCCTTTTTCAATCAATGTAGACTACTGAAGGTAGTGTGTATAAAAAGAGTGAAGAGTGCTTTTGGATGTATCTTTCTTTACAAATGAGATGAAAATGTTGTATAGTACAATTTCTTGCCATATTCGCTGCTATGAACTCTCATACATTGTAATTACAATATAATTCAGTTCGATGAGGAAAAAATATTAGAGACACAAACAAAACATAATCAGTAATAACTTACTGGTTTAATATCTCAAATTTCTTTCACCTGAAAGATAACAGTATTGACATGTGGCATGATACAGCAACAACAGTTTGACTAAATACTTACGATGTCTTAGGTATATGAACAAATCTTAATCTTCATTCCAGATACTTTGTAGCCCCTTTGACGCTGTTAGCTTCTTAGTCAGGTATTTCTTCATCGCTTTCAATCCCAACCCAGTTGATAAAAGCAAAGAGGAATTCTCTGAAGCTGACCTTTCCATTCTTATCCCAGTCCATTTCTTCTGCATTTTCCCACAGGAATTACCAAAAGAAGGATTAATAGAATTTATTTATAGACACTGCTGACAAATTAAAAAGTTGAAAGTATTGTGAGTGAAGATGGTGATACTGAATCTAGTCCTGGTGACACGTGCAGGGGATCTTTCCCATGGAGAAGCCTCATTTAGTGCCTTGATCATGTCTTTCTTGTTCAGTTTTCCATCACCATTCTTATCAAGAAACAAGAATGCTTCAACAATAGTATCAAAAGTGGCCTCAAGCTGTGGTGAATCCACATTCAATGTCTGAAACATTCCCAATTAACCTTTAAAGACACTGACTAATAAATATCTTGTAACTTAACATGCTATGTTCTTAAACAAGGAAAAGAAACAAAAATAAGTTTAGTGTGCATACAGTATCAGGCGAGAAGGAAGGTTTCATTAGGAGATAGATGAGACATAGCAGAACAATAAACTCATTAAATTGTATCCCTTCACTCCCGTCAATGTCACAGGAGTGGAACAAATCCTCAACCTCCTCTTTTGTCAGGCAAAGTTGCAGTTTCTCCAAGCACTTACTCAGCTCCTCACGATCAATAGTTCCATTAGAGTCTTCATCTAGAGATAGAGACAGAGAAAATGAATTTCTTATAAAACTCCAACATAAAATTTTAGAGAGCTGAAGATTAAACTTGTTGCAACCCACCATATTGCTCAAATACGCCTCTGAGGTTTCTCAATCCATCTCTGAACTGAGGGAACCTCATGATTATGCTGTCAATTGATTTGAAATTAGATTGTCCTGATGCACTTCTCTTCATTTCAATCATTTTCCTTTCAAGCTTTGAATCCAGCTTCTTGTACTTGTTTTTCGAACCACAATGGCAAAGTATGCCTCCTATTCTGCTGGACAAGGACTTCAGGGAAGGGCAAGGATGATATTTGCCTTAAGATATCGAAATTAGATGTCAAATGCAGACTCGATGTTAGGATGAAATGAAAATATTGAAATGTTTTGTGACTCAAGTGTTTCATAGTGAAAATGAATTGATAAATTTGAAATGATGATGCTAGTTTAAACGATCACAAATTCTCCAAGCCGTCTATTTTATTCCAGCAGCATAATCTGAGAAGAAATAGAAACTTTCCTTTGCTTTCCTTGAATGTGCTTTAATGAATAAATTGAAGGAATGTGTTACTATTGCTAAAGTTCATTTTTACAGCATCTTATAAGAAAATGGTTGTTTCTGTTTAGTTTCATATATTGAGTCCCTCTCCAACCCCACCAACAGTTACTGCAGAAATGTCAAAGCCAACCTGTTTTTGAAGAGATCCGTGAGACTGATGCTATTTGCGTATGTTATCAGAATCAGCACTTAGTAGTACTAATGGAGAAGGTAAATATAAAGCCACTTGGAAACCAACTCATAATTACACTTTGCCCCATTTCAAAACCCACATTGTTTAGACTCACGTCTATTAGTTAAAGGGACAAAAAATTGAAAACCCTAAAATTCATTCTCTAAGGTCATAGCTATAGGACGCAACAATCCACAATCCTTCTAGGCTCTCATCTTTAGTTGGGTAGATATTTGCTAACTTTTGGGAGATTTCCAGAGGGACCTTTGGCTGGGTAACAGAGTTGCTATGGTGAGCTTAAGGTGGTTATAAAAGGTGATTATGGTACCAGTCTTTACATTTTGAAGGTTCTTCTTAATCATAGAACTCCATGAAGTTGTACTACCTGAATTACCTTGAACCACCAAAATCTGTCCTACCGCTGGATCTATCTCTTTTTAGCCGTATATTGATATTAACCAACAAGATTAGCTTGACAGAATCATGCATGATATTATTAGATCCATATAACATAAATCAACATTACAAAATACCAATTGAATTCTGAATCAGATTGACAATCAAGGTGCAAAACATTACTAATAAGTGAAGACATTAAAAAAGTCTGTTAATTTTCATGCATAAGTTATTAAGTCCATATATACTTTATTAGCTACTTTAGAGGTAGGTAAATAAAAATGGAATATGAGACATACAGTCTAAAAGATAACAGAGAAAAGACCTATGAATTCATTAAATAAGGGACTTAGGAACAAGTTCATGACTTTAACTATAGCATTATGTAGTAATCACTTATTAGTTCTTCCCCAATCAAGAGGATCGATTGCCTTCACAAGGGATTACCAAACAAAAGCAGTCCATGGATTAGAACAAGGTATTCTAGCCGATGCTCAAGACTCAAACACTCTCTTGACATAAACGTTGAGCATGTGATCTGACTTTTATGGAACTATGCCTTTTACTACAGTGCTCAAGACTCAACAAATGACATTATGCAGAAATCACTTAGTCCTTCCCTAGCCCTCAATAAAGGATATGCTAAAAGGAAGAGTCAAACAGAAGAATAGATTCATGACTTAACTATAGCATTTGTCTATTTATGGCCTATCACAAACAGAAAAAATCCAAAAAATCATATGCTACATAAATTACTAGTCTAGTTTAGGAATATGAAGCTTTCTCCAAGAAGTATTCAGAAGTAGGGTTTTTTTTGTGAGGTCGATTTCTCTACCCTCAAACACACATAAGACTAAGCTCAAGTTACCTTGTGAGATAATTGACAAATAATATATTTATAGCAGACGCAGAAAATTGGAGTGCTAGAACTACAAGTATAATATTCTTGATTAGGCTCATGTATTAATTCTTCAATGGTATTATGTATTTGTTACTTAAAGAAGGGAATTACCTACAAAATGATAATAATCAGGTCCTGTTCATCTTCATTCTTAACCTAGCTACAGTTGATAAATGCAAAAGTCATATCTAAAATAGTTAATCAGAATTTTGGTTTTATGATTGTTAACCATCCATCACCATATATATTAGTACCAGGAAAGCCAACAACTAAACAAGTATCTAACCATAATCAGTAATCAACAACCAAAACAGAAACACATATTTACCAATAAATGCTACAAACAGAAGTAAATAAAGCTGATAACGGCAACACAAAAGGCTGGAGAATAACTCAATCCATGAGCCTTAAGTATATATAAACAGGAATTTAAAAAAAAAAAAAAAAAAGAAAGCGTATAATCCAAAACTTCAGCAACATTTAACTTTATGATAATACTGGGTAAAAAAATCAAAGAAAGAAAGAAAAGAAGAAAAGAATAGAAAAAACAAAGACATACCCATTGAAGCTTAACTTAATGGTGTTAGAGATGATGAAGCTGATAGTTCTTGCAAGAGAAGAAGAGATGATGAAGGAAAAGTTTTGAAGTCAAAAGGGAATGATGAAGAGAAAGCTGTAGTTAGTCCCACAGAGCTGAAAAAATAAAGATGAAGAGAAGGGGTAAAGAATAAGCAAAAATAAGGTGAGTTTTGAGAGTGGAGATTCCATAATAATGGCCTTTGACAACTAGGAAGTGCATCTTTATTCTTTTGTTTCAAAAATCATCTTACGCATTAAAGATAAAGCATAAGTTCTTTTTAAAAAAAAAAAAAAGCGTGAGTTCTGTTTCTCTGTTTGCGCAGTTGTCTCTTCTTGCAACCAATGAAAGCATGCCATGCCTCAATCATTATTACAATTGTTTTTCTTTTTATAACATATAATCAATAAATAAATTTTATCTACAATAAATAAATCAAATGATGTAATTTATTAATGAATAAATTTTTTAAAATATAAATTTTTTTATGTATCATCTATCTATTTATTTTTATTTATATATAAAAATATAAACTCTAAAATTATTAAAATTAAACGACATAAATATTCTTATAAATTTTAAGGAATAATAAATTTATCATTAAATTTTTAATTTTTTTATTTATTAAAGATTATTTATCATTAAATATATAGTTTTTATTAGTTAGTTATTTAAATATAAATTGAAAAGTATTAAAAATGAATAACATAAATAAACTTATAAATTTTAAAAAATAACAAATTTATATTTCAATTTCTAACATTATTTAATTTATTTAATAATGATTATTTATCATTAAATATATAGATTTTTATTCGTTAGTTATTTAAATTTAAATCAATTAAAAATTTATAAATAAAATTAAACTTAAAATTTTATTTGTGAGATATGGTAGATCTGTTATCCAAAATTAACTTGAATATACTCTCATCTTTATTTTTAGAATTTTTTTTTGTTAAATTTCATAAATAATAATTCAATCAAATTTATATAAAACACATTTCTCATCCTATGGGCTGTGACATAATATACGTCTGTGATATTGAATAAAATATAAATAAAATATTTTCTCTTTTTCTCAATTACTAATTGTTTTAATTTAAATAATTATATCATAATGTGTATGCCCCTAAAACATTTAATTTTATCTTAAGTGAAGCATATAATTTTTTTATATTCAAGATACAATCTAATTTGCTCTTTATCTTCTTTAATGGTGCATATAATGAGTCCTTAAATATATTTATATTTTTTATTTTATTTATTTTAGATTAATTAAAATTAGAGTTCATATAAATTAAATTATCAAAAAATTATTAAAAAAAAGTAATACACGTATTATGGTAAGTTTATATGTTTGATTTTTTTTTATTTTTATGATAAATATACATTTTATATGTTTAATGATTGTAATAGTTGATTATAATATTTCTAACCATTCTATGCAATCACACCTTAATATTACAATGTCTAAATGAATCTTTATTTTATGAACATAATCTCATGTACCCTTGAATTGTTACTAAATTTATCGTTTATTTTATCTTCTATAGATTGATTCTATACTACACCAAGTTAGTTTTGGTCTACTCTTATTTTTTTTATATTTAATTTCAAATATTTAGTACTTAAAATATTTTTATAAAACCAAAAACAATATTATTAAGAAACATTAATCTTGAAGAAAAGAAATTATTTAATATACTGTTAGTTGAGATTTTTTATCTTTACAAGCAGGTTAAGAAATTAATATATCACTCACTTTTTTTTAAATATTTTTTTTAAATACTCTAAAGCCTAAAGAGTATATATCACACTGATAACTTCATTTGTGAAATTTAAAAATTATATTACCATATTTTATTATTTTTTCTTGAAAAATATAAATTTATTTTTTTCAATTAAGAATACTCTAACATATTTATGTGCTTTGATAATAAAAAATATTGATTAATTATGCGTGTTTCATTAAATGATCAAAGCTTTGTTAGTTCTTTAACCAATTATTATATTCTTTGAAAGAATAATGTTATAGTTCATTTCATTTTATTTGTTTATATACTTAGGTCATATTTGATACACAAAATTATGAAAAGATAGGATAAGATAATATTATGCATAAGATTCGATATAATAATGTCATCATATTTTTGTGTTTGATATATGCAAGGATTATTATAGAATAATTTATTTATTTGTCAAAATTATTCTTTTTTCAAAATTTATATAATTTACATTATTAATATAATTTTTAAAGGTATAATTGAACATATAAATTTAATCTCATGAATTAAAAATAATCCTCTCCAATTGAAGAAGATTGAATAATCCTATGCCAAGAAGATATTAATTCTCCTTATAATCCATATCCCTCTCCTTAGATACAAATCAAATATGATATAGGATGATTATCATCATATCTTATTAATAATTTTAAACATGACTTTAAAGTATATGATTATTGATTTGAATTTTGATCATAAAAGTATCTATTTAATAATTATTTATACTTTTATGAGTGTGTTTATTATACATAAATACATATATCATCTATGATATATACATAAAAAAATGTGAACTCCAAACAATATTAAAAGCAAATTTTTAATTTGGTAGATTCCTATTAATAATACACTATATACCAATCATGCTTGTCTAATTAATTCTTCGATTCATAAAGAAATGAAGACTTATAATTGAACCCATTAGTCACATAATAAAAAAGTTAAAGTATGAGGATGCGAAATTTATATAGTCTTACAATTAAGATAAAAAATTAACTCAATTGATAAAATTAAATTATATATATACAAAAACAAGATAAATGAATCAATTAATATTTCATATAAATCTTAAGATTATTAAATTAACCTTTTTATTACTCAATTGGTCAATGTATCATAATATATATATGAAAATGATAAAAAAAAAAAAAAAGATATTAGATTATGGATGATAACATGACTTAAAATTTTTTTTTTCAATTAATGTGTAAAAAGTGCTCCATTTGAAATTTAGTTGACTTTACTATAAATAGTTATTTAAATTTTATCTAAAAATTTAGAATACTAACAAACATGTGCATACTTTAGATTTTATAATCCACTTTGAATGAGAGATTTTATAATTAAAAAGATGTTTAATATATATCTATATTATATATAAAATTTGATAATTTACTAAATTATCTCTACTTATTTTTTTTTAATATTTTTTAGCAAATTAAAATATTGTCTACTTTTTATTTATTTTTTTATTAAAATAGTTTTTCTTTGTTAAGTCGTTCATGCTCTACTTAACATAAGCAATAAGGCTGAAAGATTTAAAATAGTTTTTCTACATATAAATATTTTATTATTTGTAATACATTACACCTATTAATATGTTTTATATAATTAAATTAATTATAGAGGATTTAGTGATAAATAAATTATAACATAGTAGTAAATGTATAATATTCCTTCTGTCCTATTTTCTTTGTCCATTTTTTTTGGATGTCCCAAAATTATATCTATTTTCTGTTTCAAATATCTAAAACTTTTAATTTTTTATATTTTAAATTATTTTTTATGTTTTTTTTTAACATTAAAAATCATAAAACTTTAATTTTATAAAAAAATTTAATTTTAATATTAAATATATTAAAGTTAAAACTTTTTTCTTAAACTCTATGAAAATCACTGTAAAACCAACAAATAAAGATGGAGAAAGTAATATAATAGCCAATTATTGATAATTTTATTATAAATTAGTGATAATTTAGACAAAACCATTAATAACTTTATATTAATCAATGATAATAATATATTAAATTATGGATAACTTAATAGTAAATTAATAATAACATAATAGTCAATAAATTATAATTTAGTAGTAAATAATTGATAAGATAATTATATGCCGGTGATAACATAATAATAAATACATAATAATATAATAGTAAATAACAAATAACTTAATAGTAAATCATTTATACATAATTGTAAATACATAAAAATATTATAGTAAATTAAGGATAATTTAATAAAAATAAGTAATAACTTGATAGTAAATAAATAATAACTTAGTAATAAATTAATAATAATTTAATAGTAGATAAGATTCAATTTAATACTTCCTCTATCATAGTAAAATTGTCACATTTTTATTTTTGTTGGTCAATTTTTTAACTTTAATCACTTATTATTTTATATTTATTATTGATAAAAATATGAAAAAAAAACATATTTTAAAAACTTTAAATGAAGTGATTTCTAAATATATGTTTTATAAAATTTAATTAATTTAAATATTTAAAATAATAGATGTCAAAATTAAAAAATTTTAACAAAAAAAGGTCAACTACGACAAATAGAGGGAGTAGTAATTAATTGATAAATTTAGCGATAAATCATAAATAACTTAATAATAAATTAATGATAATTTAGTAGTAAATAATTTAGAACTTAGTAATAATTAATAATTAAAAATTAAAAGTAAATCAATATAACTTAATAATAACTACTGATAAATTAATGGTTAATCAATAATAATTTAGTATAATAAATTAATGATAACTTAATAGCATATCAATAATAATTTAATAGTAAATAATTGTTATCTTAGTAGTATATCAATAATAATATAATAGTAAATGCATAATAACTTAATAATAAATCAATTATAACATAATTATAAATACATAATAGCATAGTAGTAAATCAATGATAATGTAATAAAAAAATAAATGATAACTTAATAGTTAATTATTGATAATTTAATAGTAAATCAATGAAAAGTTAGTAGTAAGTTACTAATAACTTAAAAGTAAATTTATTTTAGTTTAATAATAATTAAATTATAAACTTAGCAGTAAATCATAAATAACTTAATAATAAATCAATGATAACTTAGTAGTTAATGACAAAAACTCAGTAATAAATCAATGATAATATAGTAGAATGCATAACTGTATATAGCAAATTATTGATAATTTAATAGTAAATAATAAATAATGTCATAGTTAATTATTAATAACTTCATAATAAATCATAAATAACTTCATAGTAAATTAGTAATAACTTTATAATAAATTATCTATAACTTAATAGTAAATTATCAATAACTTGGTAGTAAATCATTTATAACTTAATAGTAAATCATCTATAACTTAGTGATAAACTAATGATAATTTAGTAGAAAATCAGTGATAAGATAATAATATGTAATTGATAACTTATTTGTTAATTAGTGATAATATTTTTTTATATTTGAAGTTACCAGTGATTGAACCCTGGTTATTAGAAAAAGCAAAGTTAGAACTTTCATCATTAGGAACTAGAATAAACCCATCATAAACCTATTCATTAAAAAAATTTAGTAAAAAAATTTTAAATTTGAATGAAACAATGATGTTATTATATAAAAAGAAAATTATCTCATATATTGTAATTTATTGATAAATTAGTAGTAAATCATAAAAAAACTTAGTAGTAATTCAATTGTTAACTTAGTAGTAAATAATTAATAAGTTAATAGCTAATTATTAAAATGTTAGTAATAGATCAATGGTAATTATTAAATGCATAATATATAGTAGTAAATTATTGAATTTAATAGTAAATCACTAATATCATATTAATAAATCACTTATAATTTAGTTGTATATCAATGATAATTTAATTGTAAATTAGTTAATCATTGATAATTTTGTAGTAAATCATTGATAACTTCATAAAAAATTAGTTATAACTTTATAATAAATTATTAATAACTTAGTACTAAATCCTTCATAATTTAATAGTAAATCATTTATAATTTAATAATAAATCACTAATAACATAGTAATAAATAAATGATAACTTAATTATTAATAATGATAAGTTTTTTTTATACTTGAAGTTTTTAAGGATTAAACTCTGATTACTAGCAACAATGAAGTCAAAATTAATAATAAATTAGTTATAATGATAAATCTGTGTTAACTTAGTCATAATTTATTAATAACTTAATGATAAATTAGTAACAATTTAATTGTAAATCAGTGATAATAATAAACTAATAATAACTTATAATAAATCAATTTTAGCTTAGTAATAAAATATTGATAACATAATAATAAAGTATTCATATTTTAATAGTAAATTAGTGATATAACATAGTAGTAAATCACCGATAATATATAGTAGTAGATCATTACTAATTTAGTAATTTTTTTTTGTTTTGGTTGAATATTGATATAGAGCTATATTTTTTTAATATGTGTAACAATATTTGATTCATTTTAAAAATTATATTTATTGCCATTTAATACTAAGGTCTTAAATTACAAATATTCGTGGATATTGTACACATATATAAACAATTAAAACAATATTCATGTACCAATTACTATAACAACATAATTTTATTGAAAAAAAATAATTTTTGAATAAAAAATTTGGAATGACTTTATCTAAATTTGTACATCATTGATTGTCTACTTGATAATAAATTAATAGTAACTAGATTAATGCTATATCTTTGCTAAAAATAAATTACTATGTTATGTCGTAGCCTTAACAACACCAATAGCAATTATACAAAAAATTCTTGTCTTTAAAGATATTTTTAAAATGAAAGAAAGAAATAATGAGTCTAGACTTATTCGACAACACTATAGAAAATTACCTATAAGTTATTTTCTCAAGTATATACTATTTTAAATTAAAATATATGATTTAATAATCTAATAATAATATAAATTCTATAAATTATAATTTTATAATAATATCAGTTAAATGATTAATTTTTATATGACTTATATTAGATATATAATAAAGTGTTTGTCGAATAAAGAAATTACTCCATTTTAATTAAAAAAGAGTTCAAATATTAAAAATATATTCATTAGCAATTTTAAAGTCTAAAATTTAAAACATAGTTTACGTTCAAAATATAATAAAATCTTTTGATATTTATCTAAAACATGTCATATCTTATTAATTTTAGAATTGTTATATTTCATTATTTAACAAACAATAATAATATTAAACCAAAGTTAATTGAGAAAAGTATTTCAATATTTAAATAACAACATAAAAAAACTATTTGATTATGATAAGATATACTTTAAAGTAAAGTGTGTTATTTAAATTCTTATTATAATATATTTTAGTAAGTTTTGCATATTTAGTGACTTTTTAAGAAATCAATATTTGATATTAAAAGTAGTTTTAGTCAATATCCCTTATAAATATATAAATAAACATCATTGATGATTACATCGAGATATTAATAGTTCTTGATTGTTTTAAATTTTTTTTAGAATATATTTATAAATTAATATTTTTTAATTAGTAAAAATCATGTAAGTATGCCTTTTTTACTATAAAATGAAACTACAAAATTATTTATATTATATATATAAGTACATATCAAAAACAAAAGTAAGTGATCAAGAAAAAAAAATTATATATTTACTTTATTTCAAGTAACAAAAACTTTATAACAATATGGTTTTAGATCAAAATAAAGAATTTAAAATTTCAATAACAAATAGATGAAAAGCAAGAGTTTAAATGAGTTCAACAATGATCGATTGTTTTAAATATTTATAAAATTGAAAATAAAAATTCATTACCCAAAAAGTTAAAAGAAAAAACTCAAGAAAAAGTATAAAATAAAGAAGAAAGGGAAGTACAAAATCCGATTTGATTGTAATAAAAAAAATAATTCTTTGAAAAAATTTAAAAAGAAAGAAAAAATGTATAAAAAATGAATGAAGATGATGACCTAATACCAAAAGACTTAAAACAAAACTTTTAAAAAAAGTTAAAATAGAAAAAGATTAAATATTTATTTTTTATTAGAATTTTAATTAAAAATTTTTGTTATATATATATATAAAACTTAAATTTATATTTTCAATTTAATTTAATATGATGATAGTTGTTTCAATTTTATTATTGTAAAAGTATTAAAATTATTTTATTATATTAGAATTAAACTTTGGTTAACAATTACGTGCATCGCACATAAAAGAAAACTAGTTTATTTAAATAATTAATATTTATTTATTAAAGAGATTATATTATTAAATTTATTAATTATATAAAATTTATATACTAATAATATATTAAAAATAAATTTTATATATAAATGTACTATTACTAAACTGTGCTTATTTATCAAAAGATGATTAGCTTAAATGACAAAGAAACTATGTTTCTTTTTTTTATTATTTAAGTTTAATTTGTTTGAGAGATTATAAAATGATAATTTTTCATAAATTTATTAAATTGATATAAATAAACATGCTTAAATAGTTAAAAGAATATGTATGGAACGATACTTAAAAATCCTTTGCCTTTTAATAAAAAAAAATGTGCTTAATTTAAAATATCTCCATTTCTATTTTTAACATAGTGTTTAGATAAGAACGAAAGAAGAGAACAAAAAAAGGTTATAGTACTTAGTGGATAAACTTGTCCTGAATTTCTTGGTTTCTCTGTTTGTAAATCCAAATCTCTGATTCCCCAGAATTTGATTACACTATTCTGGTAAATTGGTAATAAGCAGTAACCATTTACAAAAATTTCTAGATCCATATGAAATAAAAGTTTAGGAAGAGCTTAAAGCTACAGGTTTTCATGAAATTGTGTAAATTTTCATGACCGAAACTCCATTTTTACAAACCGAAAGAATCTAACTAGAAAAAAATGTTACAAAAATGATCTAAAAGGAGAAACTGCAATACAGAGTTACACAGACAAATGAAACAATAGAACACCACCTTTCGAATATAAAAATAGTTATCAATGTTATGTTTTAAATTACAGAATCTTTTGAATACCACCTTTTAAGGATAAATATACTAACAAGCTAAACTAAGATCCTAGTTGGAACTCATGCATTTTCGAAGGCTAAGATGTTTGTTTTATCATTCATGCACGTGCAGGTCGTACTCTTGCTCTCATGGAAGGTTTGTGGCTAGAGAAGTGGGGGACCGATGAGGTTCAAACCACAAAATTTTAAGCTTTCAACACGAAAATGGAGTTTTGCATTAGGAATCTATAATAACTCCATCCAACCTCCCCAGAATAAAGATTTAGACTCCTGTTTATTTTCTTGACTCAGAAAATGATCTCATCACATAATACTCTGATATAGAGATATCAGGCTAATAATCTTCAAGTATAACAGCAATTCATGAATTATTTTATAGTGAATGGATCTATTCATATGAAATGGAAAACTGAATAGGATGCGGAAATATAGTCCAATTCTCATTGAAACAATTGATTAAAATTAAAAACAAAATCAGAAGCACTCCGATGGAGTGGTCTTTTGATTGTCCTTCGGATAAATTCTTGTCTTGAATCTTTTGATCATGCATTAACTTCAAAGGTGAACTAACGAAACGATGTCTCATAACACTGTGCAAGGGAAGGCAATCTCAAGTTTTGGAGGTAACCCCATATTCAAAAGGATCTGCTTTTAGAATATACAGACCACTGATGATACAGATGATAAAATAAAAGACATTTAGATTAACTAGACAAGGAGTAAACAAAAGGAAAAAATAAAGGAAAGGGAGAAGGTACCATTTCTAAGATGGAAAAGTCCTGCTACTCAACTAATATTAGGCATCACCCATTCTATTTCTTGCCTTATGTTGCCATCCAAGGGCAAAGGGTCTCCATTTCCAAACAAGGGCCTTGGCCTCTTCTTCATAATAGAACCAACACCCATTGGGGAAACAGGGCTTCCAGTAGAAGTCAAGCAACTTTCAACGGAGCAATCACCAATTCGGGCCGGAATACTGGAAGTAATTTTGTTCTCTAGAGCTGCGGTCCAGGAAGGCAATTTTATGTTATCAAGAGGGACCATCCCTTGACAATCGTTGGAAACTTTGATAGCCAGTTCAGAAAGCTCTTCTCTGGCAGCTTCAAGACCAGCAGAAGCAGCAGCCTGATCATTCAGAGCTTTACAGGCTTTCTCGAGTATTGACTGTAGGTATTTGCCTTGTGCTTCAATCCGAAGTTGAAGACGACGCTGTACCTGTTAAGTGAAACCATTAGTATGCCGATAAAAGCACACATGAAAAAACATCTTGCAAAGCAAACAGTAATCAAATACACATGAAAAAAGAACACCCTCATGAGGTCACTGAAATTTTCAAACCAGAAAGTGGCGTTTGAAAACTTCACATCATTGGCTAGTGTATACATGTCAATAATTAACCGTTCAAGTACTGACATAAAGCCAATGATAACCAAAAGTCCAGGCGATATTGAACCAACCTCCAACTGTTCATGTAGTCTTCGTTGAACTTCCATCTGCACTCGAAGAGCTTCAGTAACCTGTAAACCACTGTTTAGAAGATGAAATTCAGCATTTCATCCAACGAACAAGAAAACTTATGAGATTGTCAAACAAGAGATGAAATAACATACTCATTCAAATCCTGCGCTACCATTCTCGATGATGATGTTGTAGATGAACCAGTGTCCTGACTTTCTGCAACACAAGAAGCTGAAACACCAAATGACACATCTCATTATCAGTTAAGAATATGGATAGCTATTATCTTGCATCTATCAGTTGACAAGAGATAGTTCTCAGGACCTCCACCAAGGACCATATATAATACATACACATGGTAGAAAGGAAAACAATGAGAAGAGGTTAAATGCCAAGACTGACACAAACATGAAATTCATATAAAAATAATTTTAAAAAATTTGGCAATTTATCGAAACCCAAAAGCTCGTGTCTTAAAAAACTTCCAGTTCAAATTCCAAGACCAACCAAAAAGTGAAATTTATATAACAGTAATTTTAAAAGCTAACTTCGGAAATTTCTCAAACCCCAAAGCTGACGCATTCCAGATTGTAGTTGCTTCTCTTTGTAGTAATGTAATAAACAGTGTGAACATGATAGAAACCTTTCTTCAATGGTCTCTTATTGGCAAAGTTGAAACAATCAAATAGTCACGATACTTGGTCATGACTCATAAGTACATCAAAGGTACAAGACTAAAAATGTAGAAGGAAGAAGTTAAATATTCATTAGTGAATGCAAAAAACTCTAAAGTAATTACTAATTTAAAGAGACTAAGATGCGAACCATCCTTAGAGTTATCAGTTGATTCCTTGCAAGATTGCTTCCCCAGCCGATATTTCTGCAAATAAGGGGCATTGAGTAAAGGAAATAAAAAAAACAAATTATTTGAATTTCAATTAGCTTAGCCGGTAAAGCCCCCTCCTACCAACACAAGCACATGCAGATATTTAAAACACACATTAAGCTTACTAATTATGGTAAATCATGTTGCAAATCAAGATCCATATTTGACATAGAAAAGAGAGGGACTGAAGACATGACAGCACCAATGTAAAGTAGGGATTGACTTCAAATCATGATCATTGATGAGATGGCAGTAACACCAAACCTGAAGATGTGATTTCAAGTGATAGAGGGTAAGGCCTTTTACTCCCATGGCTCTCATAATAGTCTTAGGGGTTGCTTCTGGCAATGCATATCAAGACAAAACAAATAAGTTACATCAAGATTGATAAATTTAGAATAACAAAATGCAAGAGAATATAAGACATAACAGAAGGGTACATGAATGTTGACTCTCATAACGTCGTTGTCAATCTGCTAATGTTTCAGGTAAAATCACTGAGCTTCAAACAAAAAAGCATGTATGATAAGTGTGGATAAGGGAATATATTAAACCACGGCACAATTATAATTAGCGAAGTTGGGGTACAAATGATCTACATATTTGGCTGAATATGAGCCAAGCTTGGACCAGGACATAATGTCCCAACTTCTGATTCAGAGCACATCAAGGCTGATAAAATTTTTGCATCAGTATTGGTAAACCTCAATCAAACAAAAAGATGTCAGAAAGAATGTTTACGACAGACATTAGTGACCTAAGGGTTTAGGTGGCTGCCAATTCAACATCACAAAATTACTCATAATTTTCTTAATTTGTTATATGATGTTCATTTTACTGCATTGAGACAAATATGTTGCCATCTTGTCCCAAAATCACTCACAAAAGCAACTACTACATACTCTTTTCCAACATTTGTGACCTCACATCATCAATATGATTTTAATTCTCCACAAGCACCAGTGTTACAACTAAAAGCGTATGGATTACTTAGGTCAATAATATTAAAAAAAATCCACCTTAGACACCAAAAAGAAACAAACTAGAAACTCATTTAAAGAGACACATCCAAGAGATAAAGCTGTGGTATACTCGAGCATCACATTTTAAAAGAAATATTGCATATTTCAGAAAGAAGGAAATAACATTGTGGTATGATGTTTGCACAATTGTTTCTTTCAAGTTATGTTTAAACAATATAAATAACTTTCTGCACAAACCCTGGCTCTGACTTAAAATCTTAATCCTTTGGCCATAATTTTTACAGGAAGAAAATACTAAGACCAAGAATATTCTTCCCGGAATCAGACAAAAGACCACAGTTGCTCTAGTTTGTCTTCCAAGAAAAGTATGCTGACCAAAATTATTGAACTTAATGGCTTCAAAACAAGGTTTTGTCCTTTTGGCTGTATTTATCACTAGAGAAGTACCCCAGAAACATATATGGGGCATGCAAAATTTGAATAGATAACCAGAAAGTAGTACTAGAAAAAAAAAATAAGTTCAATGAATGTGCTAGTCAATGTCTACATGTTTATGCAAATATATTTTGTGTACATAAATATAACAAGAAGACCCTTCCAGTAAAATCTTAAACAAGAAGTCAAAAATATGGGATTGGCAGCAATGTTCCAGAGAGAAAGAGCCAATAGCAATGAGGTATAGTTCCTAGACGTCATGATCCATTTCCGAATGATATTAATGGTACCAATAGAGAACATGATTTTAAATCACACCAATGATTACAATGAAAAACAATTGTGGCTGGTAATTAAGTCAAAGCTCAGATTGAAAAAAATGGTAACAACATATCTTCTTCATCCAAAAAAGGCAAAGAAAGCTCTTTTAATCACTTCAATTCAGCCTATAAAACAACTATATCAAACATCATAACACCAATAAGTTCAACAAGAAAGGGCAGAAATACCCTGAGTTCAAAAAACAAAACAAATTTACGGACTGTGATCCATGATTACTTGAAAACAAGAGATACCAAAATACAAATTGACCACATTTCAAGAAACCAAAAAAAAAATAAAAATGAATGTTAGCAAAAAGAAAGGAAAAAAAAAAGGCTAAGTCTCAAATGCAAGGTTAAGACAAAGAAACCAACCCAAAAACCAAAACAGAACTATCAATCCCAAAGAACCCAGTGACCAAATCCCATCACTATTCTATACATAAAAAATAATAATAATAAAGCAAGAGGCAACCACATTTCAAGAACAAAAAGCTTAGGAAATGAAAACTAAAACTAACCCAAAATTCAAAACTTTCAGTAAGAAAAATTAAAAACACCGGAATTAACATTAACCTAACGCATTTTTGTCCAATCGAATAAAATAAACTAAATTGCTTAAACCAAAAAGGGAACAAATCCCATGTTTACAGTTCAAAGCAAAAGCAAAGGCAACCCAGAAACAAAAACTCACTGTCAGGGCCACCAAGTTGAGTAACAGCATCGACGAAACGTTCATGAAGCTCGGCTGTCCATCGGAGTCGAGGCTTCGGATCCGTTGTTAGGACCAAGCAAGCATCACCAGGCAAGTTGGTCCCATCAAGCGACCCTTGATAATCTCCCACACTCCCATCCAATGGTAACGACCGGATAAGCGGGTACATTTCTTCTGAAACTTCTTCCCGAGAAAATGCAGAGCGAAAATCAACAGAAGTATATGACTTGCGCCCTCTCCGGTTTCGGTTCGGGGCTCGGAGCCCCAAAGTTTGGAGGTAAAGATGGAAGAAGATGATGGGAACAGAGAGAGAATTATAGAAGCAAAGTGAGTGAATTTTGAGGGATGCAGAGGCTAAGACAGCGATATGTTGTTGTGTCTTTGTCTTTCACTTTCAAGTCTCTTTCTGCTTTCTTTGTTTAATTCAATTTATTATTATTTATTCTAAATAAATAAAATTTTTAATTCATAAAAAAAGAATTTTAAAATACATATTTTATTATTTTGTTCTCTTCCGATATGGGAAGATTAAAGGGGGCCACGTGTAGTCTAGTTGGCCTATTTTTTTTTTATGTTTTTAAAATTTTTAAGTTTGCTTTATTAGGTTTTTTTTTTTATTTAACAACTTGAAATATTTTGCTTGAAGCTTTTATAAACACTAAAATGCTACTCTTGCTTTGCTTAAGGATTTTTTTTTAATTTTTATAAAAAGTGATTTTAAAATTTTTATCTTTTTCTGTTTTTAGATTATTTTAGATTTAAAGAAAAAAAAGATTACTAGAGTTTTTATATGATTGTTTTTGTTGATTGATTGTATTTTTTTTTTTTTTTTTTGCTTTTGAATCTATTAAAAATATCAATCTAATGTTTTTAGGTTTTTAATTTAATTTTTTGTTTTTAAGAGATATTATTTTTAATAAATATTTAAATTTTAGATTTGCTCTTTTTTTTAAAGAATTTTTTGTTATTTTTTGTAAGTTCTTTATTTGATTTTTATGTAGATGAATTGATTATTGTTTTAGTTACATTTTTTACGACATGATTAAAATTTAACATGTTGGTTAGTCCTAGGATTTTCAAGATTGATTTTGCATTGATGAGTTAGATATATTTTTAGGGATTTTTTTATTATGTAGATGCTTGGTTTGACTTTTGTTTTATAAACAAATTAAAGGGTTTTGTAATTATCAATAGCACTTGTTCTTCCCACTATTTACCTTGTTTTTACTTTCTATTTTTGTTATAATTATAATTATAATTAAGCAAATAAAACGTAAAAATTTCTTTTTGAAATTTTTTTTTGAAAAAAGCAAAGAATTTGCCACAAGAACATACTAACCTTTGATAGATTTTTATGAAAAAAGCTTGTTTTAAAAAATTTTGAAAAAGACACATGGCAATGACATGCCCTACCACTTGTCATCACATTATCTTATAGAAAGTATTTTGTTTGTGGATTCTTAGATTTCATAAAGAAAAATAATTGCTTTCAAGAAGCAATTTGGATTTCACTTTTTCTGATAATTAGTTAAAAAATATAAAAGAAAATATGTGATTCCTAAATTTTGTTAATCTAAAAAATATAAGAATTTTATACTTGATTTAGAGGAATGTAAAATTATCTAATAAAATATTTTATTATATTATCTTTAATGACACGTGATATTTATAATATGTTACATATAAATAACATGTTGTTTTTGTTAAAATTAAAAAATTTTGAAATTTGTTTTCATACTTTCAAAAAAGAATACATTTTTAATTGTTATTTTGACATTAATTGTCTCTAGTAGAGAAAATGTGCGGATTGTTCTTTGAGGTAAGGTCGATGTAGGGGTAGGAAGAAGGTGATAAACCCTCTTCTAAGGGTTTTAAGAAGTCATAACAAATTTTTTAAGTAATAATATTAAGTAAATATATTTTAGATTTTATACGTAATAATATTAAGTAAAGGTGTTTTACTTTTTCTTTTAATGTTATTATGAGTAGCAACATCTACTACGTTTTTGTCTTTAAAACGTGATTTTTGTTAAAATTTCATAATTTTTAAAATAAAATTTCAATATCCATTATATTTCTTATTTTAAAAACGTGATTTTTATTAAAATTTCATAATTTCAAAAATAAAGTTTCAATGTTCACTGTGTTTCTTATCTTAAAAATGTGATTTTTAATAAAATTTCACTGTCTTTGTTAAAAGTTCAAAATTTAAAAATAAAATGTCAACATTCACTACATTTTTTATCTTAAAAACGAGGTATTTGTTAAAATTTTAGAATTTTAAAAATAAAGTTTCAACATCCATTACGTTTCTAATCTTAAAACGAAGATTTTTGTTGAAATTTTAAAATTTCAAAAGTTAGTTTATCTTTCAAATCTCAATAAAATTAATATTTATCTTTCAAATCTCAATAAAATTAATATTTAAAATAATTTTAATTCTAAATAATTTAATATTATTGTTTTTAATTTTAAATAATTTAATATTATTTAAAAAATACATATATGTTAACAATTATTGTATTTTTGTTAAACAAATTCAAATCAATTGTACGAACTAAATACAAATTTAATCTTAATGAATAAAATTTCAATACAAATAAAAATTGAATTAATTTTATATTTTTTAAAAAATAAAATTTAAACATAGTCATTGCCAAGTGTCAAATGATAAGACTTAGAATGCCATATGCATGTTAGTTTGGGTTTTGGTTTATCATGCAATTTTTTTTATATTGAAAGGTCAAATAGATTGTAAAAACCATTTATCCAAGGTAAAAGTGAGATAAATTTTGAATTTCATCTTAAATCTTAGAAAACTTTAGGGAGATGAAGGTTTATGATTCAAGATTATTTTCCCTCTACTTCACACTGTTAGAATTTAAAAAGATCTCAAGGAATCACATTATGGAACCAAACATAGGAATCATATTATGAAAAGTAAGATTTTTAAGAGAAATCTTACTTTCCCCCTAAACCAGATGCTTTCTTAAAAGATAATTTTAATCTATAGTTATAGATTATAAATATAAGTTATAGAGCTTATTAAGACTTGAGATTGTATCATTTTGACATTGGAGTCATTTTAAAATTGAATTATTTCAAGTCTTAATTATATTATAGTATTTGTAGACACCCAATTGGGTCCGGGCCCAGATCAATTGGGCCTGGCCCAAATGGGTAAGGCCCATTTCAATCCTGTATATTTTTTTCTTTTGTATTTTATGTATTCTATTATTATTATTATTATGTATATCTTTATTCATTTATTTATTTTTATTCAGATTAGATTTATATGTATATTATTTATATAGTTATATATTTATTATTATTATTATTATTATTATTTTTGTAAGATATTTTTGGATTTATCTTATTTTATTATTATTTTTTTTTAAATTATCTGTTCTGATTTTTTCCTGATTATCAGATATTTTTTTTACTATGATATCTTTTTATTTATCTGTTCTAATTATCTATTATTTTTATATTTATTTGAATTTTTTTTTTTTTTTTTTGGAAGGTTGAGATTGAAGCTGAAGAATCCTACTGGGAGTGGGGATTCAATCTAAAGAGTCCAATTGGATTCAAAGACTGAATCCCCGTCCAAGGAGGAGTTGGGATTGATCAGAAACTCTTGATCAACCCCTATATAAAGGACCCTTTGGAACAGTTCAAGAACAGACAGAAAACAGTCAGCTAGAGCTACTGATTTGAGAAGCAAAGGCGTAGGGAAGAGTATAGAAGGCTAGGAAAAGGTTTAGGAGAGTTCCAGAAATTATCAGAAATTTTTTGGGGATTTTTCGAGATTTTTTTTTCTGGGAGTTTCTGGAAAATTCCAGTTTCCGGTTGAATTTTCCGGCCAACCTTGAAGTTTCCGGCTAAAATTCCGGCCAACATTGAAGTTTCCGGCGAACTGCCCAGTTTCCGGCGAAGAATCCCAGAAACCGGCAAAGAATCCCAGAAACCGGTGAATTTCCGGCCAACTTCCGGCGAAAAAACCCAGATTCCGGCGAAAATTTCCAGAATCCGGTGAATCTTCCACCGGAGTTCTTCGGTTTTTTAGAGAGAAGGGAGAGAAAAGGGAAGGAAGAGAGAGAGGGGAGAGGAGCGTTCTGCCGAAAAACGGAGGAAGGTGCCTTTTATACCCTCCCAAAACGACGTCGTTTTGGCTTTAAGTTAATCAGAGGATCCGCGCGTTTTACCGAACCCGACCCGACCCGAGCGTCGACCCGATTCTGACCCGCGCGTGCCCAGCCCCCCTCCGAGCCGAGCCGAGCCGAGCCGTTCTTCCCGAGCCGCTTCTCCGAGCCGTTTTCTCTTCTTTGAGCCGAGCCGAGCCGAGCCGCTCCAGGTTTTTTTTTTTTTGAATTTTTTTTGAATTTTTTTTTGAATTTTTTTTTATTTGACTTTGATTTTGATCTTGATTTTTTTTTTCTTTTTTCTTTAATTAATCCGACGACGGAGCCTCTACAAGTGAAACAGTAGTTTTTCTTGCATACTCTTGAGGTGAGGGAATTTTCTCAATTTTCTGCTAAAAGTATTAGAGTCAATTGAGAATAATTTCCAACAACTAATTACTTGGTAAAATTTTAAGGCTTTTGGATAACACAAATTTAAGCTGGTACCATCTTTTGATGGGCGTTGTGAGGGTGCTACAACCTTCCTCACACGTAACCGAACTCCCGAACTTTGTTCTGGTTAGCAGACCTGAACCTATTCTTTTAGGGACCCTCAAGCTTAGGTGTTCCCTGAAAGGACAGATTCTTTAGGTGGCCAATCGCACCTAGATAAAAAAGATTGGTGGCGACTCCCAAAAGTCAATGTCTAGCGATAGATCCCCGGATCTAGACGTTACGACAGCTTGGCGACTCCACTGGGGACTTTGAGAGTCAGGCCAGCAAATAATTTGTGTTATCCAAAAGCCTAATAAAATTGAACCATTTTTGTATATATGTGTTATTATTCATTCCTGTTTATTTATCTTGTTAATTATGTCATTCATGTGCATGTGCATAACATGAGCTCTATACCCGAGCTCCGTCCCTCTAGGAGGGAGTAAAGTACCTATTGCTTTCGTGAGGTCTAATGCCTCCGTAGTGGCTAGCGAAATACTCCCACTCAAATTGAACCTTTTCCGCTTGTAGCCTGTAATGGGTGAGGATTAGGGTGCCTTACTAGTCTGTGATGGACAAGGATGTAAGGAACAATTTGAGGACCTTTAGACTCTGACTTTAAAACCACATGTAGTGAACCTTAAGAGTGCCTAACCCTAGGATAGAGTCCTTTCTACCCAATGATAGATATACCCTGAAATTAGGACACAAAAAAGGTGTTTATCTAATCATTTTGATTGCTTAACTTTGTGTATTATTTTTTGTAATGTTATGCATCAGCATTACT